AATTGTGTATTGTGTATTTATAAATTGTTTTGTAGTTACAAATTGGATTTGTGTATTATATGAATTGTCATTTTGTAAATGTGAATAGTGTATGAATTTTATTTTCTAAATGTATTATTTTTGAGACTGATCTGGCTCTGTGTGTGTGTGTGTGTGTGTCCTCTGGCGGGTGATCTGCTGGATTTAAGGCACCGCTGCGTTACGGGACGGCCACAAAACCGACTCTCTTTAGGACCGCAGAAGGAAGCAGGACGGGGCTGCTCTGATTCGTACACTAGTGAGTCGTCTAGATAGGAAGCTTTGACTTGAATAGACTAAGTGAAGTGAAAAATATCTGTAAATTAACTTTTTTTTTGTGATTTAGGTTTTATTTATTTGTTGATGCATTGGAATTAAAAAAGTGACATTTATTGACATTTTTAATAATTTGAAGTGATCTATTTATATTAATAAAATATTTAAAAATATTCAACAAACACAATGAAACATATTCTGAAAATATTGATATTAAATAAAAACATTTGTTAAAACAATTGTGACTGTGTGTGTATCTGCACATTCTTAGAAATCCGACTGTGCTCTCCGGCATCCACTCGCTATATTGAATAATAATAATAATAATAATTATAATAATAATAATGTTGATAATGATATTAACATCATCATTATTATTACTATTATTATTATTATTATTATTATAAAAAAATTATATTATTATTATTATTATTATTATTGATAATAATAAAAATATATAAAATATATATTACATATAATAAATATATATTAAAAACATATTTAAAAATCTTCAATTATTATTATTATTATTATTATTATTGTTATTATTATAAAAAATTATATTATTATTATTATTAACAATTATATTATTTTTTTCTACTATTATAATTATTATTATTGTTATTATTATTATTATTATTGTTATTAATATTATTTTTGTTATTATTATTATTATTATTATTATTATTATTATTATTATACAATATTTTTACTATTATTATTATTATTATTATTATTTATATTCTAAGTGTCTATGATTATTGTTTTGCCCCCTTAGTAGGCAACTCACTAGTATTAGAATCAGAGGAAGAGTATTACTGTTTGTAAATGTGTACGCTTTACTGCAACAGCATCATCACTGAGTTTCCATGTCCTCCGACTGTGTGTGTGTGTGTGTATCTGCGCATGCTCAGACATCACACTGTGCTCTCCAGCATCCACTCGGTGCTGCTGAAGGTCACTCTGCGGCTGCAGGGCGGCGATGTGTCCGTGTTGATCTGGGAGCTGGACTTGTGTCTGCGGGTTCGAGCCCGCCGTGGGTAACTGTGGCTCTGGAATAAAGCATAGTCTCCGTCAAAGGAGAAGCGGTGCCGAGTCCGCGCCAGCTCACTGGGCAGAAGTGACATGTTGGCCAGCGGACCCTTCCGAGGGCCCTCGTTCGGGACGGAGCCGATCAGACACAGGGACATGGTGGAGCCGGTCAAGCTGCTGTCCGTCTGCGTGTCGTCGGATGGAGGTCCGGCCAGACTGGCTCTCCTGGAGGACGGAGGTTTAGCGGAGCACAGAGCCGGCAGCTCCACCTTCAGCTCCTCCTGCGGATCCTCCATCTGAAACACACACACAAACATCAAATCTCAACATACAGATGTTCACATATGAGTACAATCAGTGAAGATAGTAAAAGGTGGATGAAAACTAACTAGATCAGGGGTGTCAAACTCAATTCCTGGAGGGCCGAAGCCCTGCACAGTTAAGTTCCAACCCTGCTCCAACACACTTACCTGTAGGTTTCAAACAAGCCTGAAGGACTCAATTAGTTTGATCAGGTGTGTTTAATTAGGGTTGGAACTAAACTGTGGAGAGCTGCGGCCCTTTTGGAACTGAGTTTGACACCTGTGAACTAGATATTTAAAATTGACAGTAAATAGACAGTGGTCCCTCGCCATAACGAAGTTCACCTTTCGCAGTCTCGAAGTTTTGCGGATTTTTTCGTGCAATGTGACGTGCTTTTTATTTTATTTTATTTTTTTTACAGCACATTGTGTTCTGCATCCTGATTGGCTGAAGGCTGTTGTCAAGCTTAACTGTGTGTTTGCAAGTTTTCTCCCCAACAAACTCCATAACGTTGACGAAACGTTCTGCACTGTCAAAGGCACCTACGGTAGCACCCAAAAGGCAGAGGAAGATGCTAACCATCACACAAAAAGTTCTGGACATGTTAGAGAAAGGTAGAAGTTACCTTTTGAGCTGTTGACAGTCATTTATGTATCCCACGCTGCTAAACACACTATTAGGACACAAATATCTCATAAAAAAAGTGAAAACTCATTGTTTTTGTGTTATTTCGAGCAAATTTGTTCTTACGGTTTGAAACTAATTTTTGAAGCTGCGTCATGCCGATTAGATCCTTGTGTGTATTACAGCGTGTAGACTGGCTGTTTGAACCTGGTAGTACATCCTGACGTCTCTGAGTGTGCTGCATTTATTCATGAAAAAGGCTTGGTTCAAACCTATCAGCGCGCTCTATTGTGTGTGCGGTGCAACTTTATTAATATGCATAACAGCTTTGAAGACTGTACATGTACAGTGTTCAGACGGTGAGAGAAACGCCACGTTGTGTTGCCAAAACAAGTTTAAGAAAAACAAGAACATTTTGGAGACACTAGTCATCAGTGTTGTGTTTATTAATGTGCTGCAACGAAGGTTTTGTTTTCATTTCCCGCTATGAGAGCGCAGCTGGACTCACATGTGGATTACAGTGCATGCAACGTGCAACAAAAATACGTGTCTAAGGAACATTTTTACCCAAGAGCTTTTCTCATCTGGAAAAGGTGGAATCCGGATTTGCTGCTCGTCTCCTTTTAAAATAGACCCGGCTGCAGTTGGTGTTGATTGTCCTGTCTCTACAGATTTGGTAAGTGTGTGATCAGTGGTTTTTGATTGTTCATTCAGATGGCAAAGTTAGTTCGTATCATCGGTTTACTCTTTCTGTTTTTAAAGACCTACCAAAGGGAAACTCCCATTTTTATCCAAATCCTTCCCTCTTTGCCTCCACCGACACTTCCACCTAAACAGAGCTAGATGCACCCACTTTCCTGTCTTTTTCCAAACTAGAGGTGTGAGAACACCCTTTTGAAAAAGGGGGGGATTATGGCCCTTTAAACAAAAGAGAAAAGTGTGAAAATATTAATGCCTGTCTGAGAAAAGTGTATAAGGTGTGTAGTGAGGGGTTTTACAGCCATAAAACATCTATAATAATTGTAAAAATTAAAGCTGATTGCTTCACGGATTTCATCTATTGTGGGAATTTTTTAGAACGTAACTCCAGTGATTGGCGAGGGACCACTGTAGACATACATACATACACACACACACATACAGCTGAATTCAGAATTATTCTGACTTTGAATTTTGTTCTTTGTTTTATATTTTCTAGATGATGTTTAACAGAGAAAGGAAATGTTCACAGTATGTCTGATAATATTTGTTTTTCTGGAAAAAGTCTTATTTGTTTTATTTCGGCTAGAATAAAAGCAGTTTTTAATTTTTTTCAAAAACATTTTAAGGTCAATATTATTAGTCCCTGTAAGCTATATATTTATTTCAATAGTCTACAGAACAAAAAATAGTTGTGCAATAACTTGCCTAATTACCCTAACCTGCCTAGTTAACCTAGTTAAGCCTTTAAATGTCACTTTAAGCTGAATACTAGTGTCTTAAAGAATATCTAGTCCAGGGGTGCCCAAACTACAGCCCGCAGGCCATCTGCGGCCCGCGATCAGTTTTGTGGCGGCCCGCGAGGCTTTTTATGAATATTAATAGAATCTGGCCCGCAATACAAAAATGAATGTAATTCAATAAATAACCACCGGGTGCCGCTATTACATGTCTTCAATTAGGCAGCAGTTCCTGTTATGAAGTAAAACGAACCGAACAAACTGAAAGAAACATAATTCATAATCACATTTGGCGAGCCATGGCACAAGCAAGAAAAAGGAAAATCAACAGTGAGTGCAGGAAATTTCAGTCACGATGGGGCAAAGAATATTTCTTCACAGAGGTCAGTGGAATATGTGTCTGTTTAATTTGCCAGGAATCAGTTGCAGTAATGAAAGAATATAATATTAAAAGACATTATAAAATAAAACATCAGGCCTTCAGCTCTTACACTGGTGCCGAACGAGATCAAAAAGTAAAACAAATAGCAGCTGCTCTATCAGCTCAAAAACAGCAGTTTTTTTTCATGCTAATAAAGTGCAAGAAAAGTCTATGCTGGCTAGTTATGATGTAGCCCAGCTAATCGCACAGCACAGGAAACCTTTCACTGAAGGAGAATCCATAAAGGATGAGTGTTGCAAGTGTAATTTGCCCAGAGAAGATTCAAGATTTTAAAAACGAAAGTCTGTCAGGTTTTAAACCATATGGGGCATGGCAGGTGTATTTGGAAATAACTCGTATAAATAAATAACTAGAACTGAATTTAGAAATAGTTTTGAAACAAATCTTTGCACTTAACAAACGAAATTAATTATTTATAGACTAATTGATGTCTGTGCGTAAAGGTTTCCCTATCCAAGAGCCAAAGTGAAAGTGATCCATTATCTCTCATTGTCATGCAGTAGATGCTCTGTTTAACTGTTTTCTGTTAAAAAAACTGTTAACTGTGAACTGTTTGCTTGTGAAATGCTCATTTTTTTCCACTTAGACTTACTTTGCGTCCTGTAAATAGCGAATGCGCTTATGGCGTGACGCAGCTGACTCTTAAAGGGAATGGGAGATGAGACTCTAATTGGTTTATTCTCAAAACACACCTATAACTCGTTAAGAAAACAAACTCAACCCTTTTAGACCATGCGCCACGGCGCAAAGCGGATTTTCCCGTCCTTAAATTAGCAAAAATGCGTTCTGACACGCCCTGAAAGCGTTTGCGCCCTGCGTTTTGCGCTCTGCGCATGGACCGTCAAAATAGAGCCCTAAGTCACCAATTCCATTTTTGACAGAAGGAGGTCCATATTTATTTTACTATTTTCTTATTTTCTTTACTTTTAAATGAATAAACATCTAAAAAAGTAAGTGTAATATGGGCAGAACCATTTTGAGGAGCACCAGGGCCTTGCAGTGTTTCCCGGCGGGCGACTCGGGCGGCTCTTCGCTCTGTTTGGTGGCTGCGGATCTGCTGCCGTTGGTCTGCGAGTGCACATGAACACTGACGTCTCCTCCAGCTTTAGCTTTAGCTGTGTCTCCTCCACCGCCGCTGTAGGCTTTATAGCGGATCATAAGGATGATGATGAAGACCAGCACGGAGGCCACGATGATGCCGCCGATGATGATGATCATGGTTCCTCCCAGAAACTGGCTGGGCACGAAGCGGCACTGGTTAGTCTCCGGCAGAGTGTGGAAGTGAACGCAGCCCACCACGCGCGTCGCCGTCAGCGACGTGATGCCGTCGTCATACACCGCTAACACGCACAGCTCGTACTCGCGGCCCGCAGCCAGATCGTTGATCCTGAACGTCTTACTGGCTGACGGAATCATCCTGGCGGGAAAACACACAAGACGAACAGATGAAGTACAGGTGAAATTCAAAACTAACCATATGATTTTGTTGGTTCACATTGCTAGTGCTATGGCAGGGGTGTCAAACTCAATTCCTGGAGGGCCGAAGCCCTGCACAGTTTAGTTCCAACCCTGCTCCAACACACTTACCTGTAGGTTTCAAACAAGCCTGAAGGACTCAATTAGTTTGATCAGGTGTGTTTAATTAGGGTTGAAACTAAACTGTGCAGAGCTGCGGCCCTTTTGGAATTGAGTTTGACACCTGTGTGCTATGATGAAGAATGCATCTGTGCATGTCATTCGGAAAGCAAATTGTTTGCCAGAACATTCATATCTGCAAATGCACTTCCTGTTAGTTTTCAGTTAAATCTCAGATTAGGTCTGTCTGAGGTATTGGGTGGGACTAACACACTTAACCACACCCCTTCAGCTGTCAGCTTTGACAACAAACAGAAAGGGTGAGGAGGAGGAGTCAGTAAGGTCTTAATAACCCTCCCAAAACCCCTTCCCCATCTTTCTGTAAGAATTTGTAGATATTTGAACTAGAAACAAGACAAAAACTCTTTGCAGGAGCCATTTGTTTGTTTTATTTAAAGATTTGTGTTGTTATTCTTGATTTCTTTTATGTTGGAGATTTGCACCCCCTGCAGGCCAGAGGAAGCTTAAAAGGCATGGGTGTGGCCTATTGGAGAAGGGCCTGCTGGGAGCACATGGGCTTTAGACCTTACCTTCAGTGTTTGATGGCCAAATTCGTTTGCTTTTGTTTATTTCATACCAGTTTTTTTTGTTAAACTACCTCTGCAATAAACAGCAACAAATTAAGACTTGATGTTCTTTGTATTATTTGCAAAGGAAGCGTCAAAACCCCTCAGCAGACCCAAGATGAGACTAATTTGAAACTTTGAACAAGGATAGTCACAACACTCTTATATTAAAAAAAGTATTTATTTATTTATTTATAGCCGTCTGCTACAAAGCCATTTTTACACCTAAAAAAAATATATACAATAATAATAATACCAGCACACACACACATGCACCCAAAAACTCATATGAATAATAAATGCAGATTAAAATTACAATGCCTTTTAAATATTTAGCAAATATTCTTAAGATGAAACATGCTGATGCACTTTAGCGTTTAAAATAAATGCTGCATCACTTTTCTGTCTACTTTGAGAGTCCTAAAATGCTGCACAGTGATTTAAAGGAATCAGCTAATTGTTCCTTTCAACCTGATGAGTTCAATTAATCACCAAATGAACCCATTTAGTGAAATAAATCAGAATATAATAGCGTATTACAGTTTACAATAGTGTTTAAAATATAATAGTGTATAACAGTGGACAATACCCTTTGACATACAGTATAATAGCGGTTAAAATATAAGTGTATAATAGTGTAAATAGTAATAAAATACATATTAGTGTATAATGTCATTTAACATACAGTATAATAGTGAATAATTGTGATTAAAAAAAATATTTATGACTATTTTGTCTACTTTGACAGTCCTAAAATGCTGCATAATGATTTAAAGAAATAAGTGAATTGTTCCTTTCAACATGAACAGTTTAATTAATCACCAAATGAACCCATTTAATGAAACAAATTACAATATATTAGTGTATTATAGTTTACAATAGTGTTTTAAATATAATAGTGTATCGCGTTTAAACTATAGTAGAATATAATAGTGTATAATAGTGATTCAAATATAAGTGTATAATAGTGTAAATAGTATTAAAATACATAATAGTGTATAATACCATTTAACATACAGTATAATAGTGCATAATTGCTTTTAAAATAAATACTTCATCTCCATTTTGTCTATTTTGACAGTCCTAAAATGCTGCATTTATTTAAAGATCCCATGAAATTAAAATAAGTTGTTTTTTTTTAGATGTTAGTATCAGTATTGTTCGTTTTCTAAGATATCGATAACCTAGTGTGCTTCAAAACAGTGACAAAATTTGCTCAAAAACAAAACATTATTGGCTGCTTTTTAAAAGGGGGAGGAGCTACATTATGTCCCACACTCTCATCATGTTTTCATTGAGATTACGTGAAACATCCAATAATGTGGTTTATACTTCTGCGTCAAGTGACCGGTGTAACTCACGGCGCATGCAACGCGCTGTGCATTTTTACTTCTGCGCGCTGTCTCTGTTGGTCTGCATTAACACTTCCGAAACGCTAGTTGGCAGTGAGGTGTAAATGTTCCTCTGTGTCGAGTTTCCTCTCTGCTGTTTTGCTTTTCCTGAACACTTCCGGGATGTACAAGTGACTCAAACTCGCTCATTTTGAGGCAGGAACCGGCGGACGTGCAACAACTTTAACTATGAGGTAAACACAAAACAAAACTTTCCATCCGGAGCTCCTTCACGGGACTCCATACTTGTAAACAATCACTCGCGCCATTCGCGCGGCTCTCGGTCCCGCCCAGACTCGTCAGTGCTACCAAGCCGACCAATCACAGAGCTTGCGCTACGCGTCGTTGCGACGTGTAGTTACAATTTTTGAGAGGTACATGTCAGCCACGCCGACGGCCACGGCAAGGGCTATGCGTCAGTGCCGTAGCATACGCCGGCGTTTGACGCAGAAATATAAATCAGCCTTAAAGTGTGTTTCTGTTTAGTACAGCATATTATTTACAATAAATAATTGAACTAAACAATTTTGCCTCATATGATTCATTGATAGTTTTATTAAGTAATAATAATAATAATAAATTATTTTATTATCAGATATGATTGACTTGGATTTAAGTTGCTTTGATTTAAAAATGAAAATTGTAAAAAAATAGTTTAGATGTAGCTAAGCTACTTTTGCCATGTAGCTTTTAGCTTAGCCTGCTAAAATTTTCCAGGGGGTAGCTTTTAGTGTATTTAAGCTACATTTTACATAGAGTAGCTAATAACTTAGCTCAATACATTTTTCAAGTAGCTTTCCCAACACTGCATATAATCAGGCACGTGCACACATAGGGCTCAACCTGTGCAGTGCACATGCCCTTTTTAGTCTTGGATAGAAAGTGCCCTTCCAAAATTATCAAAAGTGCCCCGCGACGCGACACATCCTCCGTCCCGCCCTTCAGTAGGCGTACGACAACACTGATCTTGAGTACGCGCGCTCAACCCCCCCTCACCCGCTTTACAGTACGCGCGCAACAACATAGCAGATCAGAACGCGCGCAACAACACCACTCTTCAGTATGCGCGCGACGACGACAACGACGACGACAACGACGACGACAACGACGACGACAACAACAACAACAACAACAAACCCCCCCCCCCCCCTTTTTTTTTAGATGTATCCTGCACATGCCCTTTGGACGGTCTCTGCACGGGCCTGCATATAATAGTGTATAATAGCATTTAACATACAGTACAATAGTGTATAATAGCACTTAAAATAAATGCTGCATCACTATTCTGTCTATTTTGGCAGTCCTAAAATGCTGCACAGTGATTTAAAGGAATCAGCTAATTGCTCCTTTCAACCTGATCAGTTCAATTAATCACCAAATGAACTCATTTAGTGAAACAAATCAGAATATGAAGGACAATATTGCGAAATGATGTGCGTGAAACATCATCCATCAACCTGAGAGCAATGACCGTCAGTGTGCATCTTTCATGAAGCATTGTTGTTTTTTCCTCTGTAATGTTTGACATGAGAATGTCTTTCTGTTGTTCTCCGTCAGAAGCGCTGTGCTTTTATTTATTTCCGCAGCTCTCGGTTCACGATCAGAGTCTTAAACAAGCCGCTGGAAATTAAATGTCGGGCTGGATTTACAGCTCTGATCCCGCATGACCCGAGAGCCGCTCTCTGATTGGGTGATCTGAAGGCGGGGTCTGTTCTGATTGGCTGATGATGTGCGAGGCGGTCAGTGGGGTCAAAAGTCACAGCGAGGAAGAGCTCAGTCATCATCAGGATGAAGACGGACACCTCACACCGACCTCGCATCAGATAAATCTCCTTTACACACCTTTTACAAGGATTTATGGAGGGATATGATACGGTTATCAACTGGCTTGTGCTTCAGGAACAAACACAGTAGCAGCACTATTCGCAGTAGTAGCATACTAAACACTGTTAACATTAACATTATAACACTGATATGTTATCATAGGTTTTACACAGCAGATGCCCTTCCAGCTGCAACCTAGTACTGGGAATCATCCATACACACTCATTCACACTTATACACTGTGGCTTATTCAATTCCGGTGTTGTGCTGGGAGGCACATGGTCAGTGTATCTTCTGGTCATTTGATTTTAATTTCAGAAACGCAAATTAAAAAAATGAACCGTTTGTTTGATTTTTATTTTAAAATTCAAAAACAAATATTGAAATATAAGCATGATATATATATATATATAGCATGTTTTAAATGAAACAACAACCTTTATTTTAACGTTATATGCAAGCATTAAGTTGAATCTGAAGTTTGACCACGAATCATTTCCAGTGTGGGAGCCATTAATACAGTTGTTCGTTATGTACATTTCATTAAGTCATAGTATTTTAGAATAAAAATTAACAATAAATTTTATCTATCTATCTATCTATCTATCTATCTATCTATCTATCTATCTATCTATCTATCTATCTATCTATCTATCTATCTATCTATCTATCTATCTATCTATCTCTCCATCCACCCACCTATATCCATCCATCCATCCGTCTATCTATCTATCTATCTATCTATCTATCGATCTATCTATCTATCTATCTATCTATCGATCTATCGATCTATCTATCTATCTATCTATCTATCTATCTATCTATCTATCTATCTATCTATCTATCTATCTATCGATCTATCTATCTATCTATCTATCTATCTATCAGAATGTGGGGGAAACCAGAGCACCTGGAGGAAATTCAGGGAGAACATGCAAACTCCAC